ACCGATGGAAAATTTATTTCTTAATGCTATTATGTCTCATAATTATTTTTAAAAATGAATGAAAATAGCCTGGCATATTCCACTCAAACATCAAAGAATACGTTTTCTATTAACAGCCCATGGAAGTTTCTCTAAAACTGATCACATGCTGGGGAACAAAAGAAACCTCAACAAATTCACCAAAACTGAAAAAATTACATGCATTCTATCAGAATACAGTGCAGAAAATTTAAAATCAACATGGAATCCTCCCAGGTTTCAGGAGGCAGAGGCAGGAGGATCTCTGTGAGTTCAAGGCCAGCCTAGTCTATATAGTGAGTTCCAGGACAGCTGGGGCTACAGGGAAACCCTGTCACAAAAAGACTAAAAAAAAAAAAAAAGTAAATGAGAATGTAAAAGATGTTCAAGGATATGGGAATTGAGACATTTTCCAAAATAGACTAAAAATGAGAAAGCCTAAGTAAGTGATGAAGATCTGTTTGTTATATATAAAGGAGGAGGAAAAATAATATACACATAATCTTAAAATTTCTATGGTCAAAGTTTACTCAACTAGTTTAATGAACAAAATATATATCTAGTCAATGTTTATCTGAGAATATTTTGGTTTTTACCCAAGCCTTATCTACAAAGCACGTGTTAATTCAAAGTATCAGACTGGTGGAACCAAACATGGGATGTTTAACAGCCATAGTTTGAGGCCTATACTAATGTGGTCAGAAGGACTTAAAGGACAGATTTTGCTCCTTGCCCTCCAAGGTCGACCAAGTTCCAGGGGATTATGGAATATCCCTCAAAATGTCATGTAACTGTGGTGAGTCACCTGTGTGCCTGTTCATGGAGGACACGGAGATCCCATGAGATGGACTTGAACCAGTGTGTCCAGTCTACAAAAACGAAGGTCAACTTAGAGGAAACATCTCATTCAAGCTTCCAAGTGAAACCAGACACAGTCGAGCAGGACCTTTGACTTATCTTCACATAGATGAAACTCATATAAGAAAAGATCCAGGAGCTCTTCCCAAGCCCATGTGAACCCTGAGGAACAGATTCTCAAATGACCACAAGTATAAAGATAAATTGATCTATTCAGACCAACTGTATGGTCTTAAAAACCCAAAAGAAAGTCATCAGTATACTTCTTTAAGAGTTCAAGGAATTACAGTTCCCAGACATTAGGCTTAAGTCTAAATAAAAAATATTTAGACAGCTGGGTGTGGTGGTGCATGCCTTTAATAGGCAGAGGCAGGCAGATCTCTGTGAGTTCAAGGCCAGCCTGGTCTACATATTGAGTTCCAGGACAGCTGGGGCTACAGG